AGTGGAAAACTAGAGAGTCTTTTATGATGGGTGTCTTTTATTTAAAAAATAACAATTAATTATTTTTTTTTTCTTTTCAAATTTGTAAAATCACTCCATTGATTTTAACTTTCTGTCAATGCAAAACTAAGAGTTCTGTGACTAATTAATATAATAAAATATAGCGTATGAAACTTTTTATTGAAAAAGACTATGAATATCTTTCTTGAAAGATCATGAGTTTATTTTTTTAACCTAAATATTATTTAGTATATAAAACTCATCGTTTACAATACATAAATATTGGAAAACTTATTAACGAAAACGAACTTAAAACGAAAGGAAAAAATTACAACAGATTGAATTAATATATGTTCACTATCTTACAATACATCTTCAATATAAATATCGATGCATTAACATTTCGTAGCTCTTAATACATTCATTATGTTGTAGCTGAAGTTACTGCAAATTATTTCTTTGAAAATGAGATTTTTTATTTGACATATTTATGTTATATTTTAATAATTATTATCGTCTTTAAAAGTTTCTTAAAAATATCTGGGAAAAATTGTCATACAAAGCAGAAAATATATAAATAAATAACAAGCATAAAAAAAACAATTATTTTGAACTTTTATTCAAAAACATCAAAATACGATTTTGTACTAACTTTCAACAAAGAATTTTTCTCTAATTTTAATGATGTCAAGAATTTTGAGTATAGTCTAAGAATTTTTTTTTTTTATTTCTGTTTATATTGATACACAAAAAAAGAATGTTTTGAACGCCAGAAATTTTAATCAATTTGTTTGGGAACATCCGTTGTTATGGAAACAACATTACATTTTTGACATTCTTAAAATATAAAAATCACAGACATGGGAGCGGGAAAGTATGATATTAATAAACAATTTTTTTTTTTTTTTTAAAGTAACAATATCATGAGATATTGATCTCTGCCAGCAATTTTTGATGTAAAGTGCAAAAGCTTTCGGTTAACTTGAAATTTATTATATATTAGCAAAACTTTTGTATACGGTTTGAATGTTTTTTTATTTTGTTAATCAGATCAATGATGATATTTTTCAGAATAAAAATCTATTGATACTAAAATGAGATTAATATTTAAAAATAAGGTACAACACATATTTATGTTCTTTTACTTTTTATAAATGTTTGCTTATGTTTTTAAATAAAATTACAGTCTGACCTCATTTATACACCATTCTTTTGCTTTGCTCTTCAAAATAACAATTTAATGGTTTTCTTTTAAATAAAAATGTTAAGCTATCACTTTTGAATTAAACATAATGGAGATTTTGAAAAATTCGACTGTATTTAAAATTTATACCATTTAGAAATTTCTTTTAATGCAAGATATGTAATACCTATAAAAGGTTTTAATTTAGCATTATAACTTTAACGACATTTTAAAGAAATATTTGCAAAATTATTTTATATTTTTCAGTAAAATTTTCTTTCTTCCCTATATTTTGCTGCATTAACATTCAAAATGCATTGATCGGTATTAAATGAGTACTTAAATGTTTTATATTTTATTAGCATGTTTTATAAGTAAAAAGATACATTTTTTAAAAAAAAATGCTTATTGTCTTGTACTTTATTAAAAATGTCATAACCTTTTTATTAGCTACTAACTATCAAAATATAATTATTTAAAGTAAGTTTCTTTAGTTTTGTAAGTTAAGTTTGTTTGTTACATAAATTTACAAATCATCAGAGGCCCCAAAAATTTTTTATAAATTGCAACAGAAGACTCCAAACTATCTCCTTCTTACAAAGATTAGGATCAATAGCTAACAGTCCTGCCCGTATATTTATTTATAAAGGAAATTATAATAATTTACAAGAGCAGTTAAAATAACATATTGACTAGCTTTTTTAGTCTGTCCAATTGATTTTCTTATGTTTTACTGTTGCATATCACGAACAACTCAACACTGTATGATGAAAGATGAATATGTAATCTACATCATCCATTGGATAATAACCTTTTAAAGGATATTCATATTATATTATGTATGTAAGTAAACCTATACAACTCTTACCAGGCAGCCTAACTATAACTGCACTAATACATGTTATTATGCCACGATCGTGTCTCCAGGTTTCATAATTGGTGTTTTCTTGTTAACTAGAGGCCAGTGATACCAATAAATTATAACTCATATTTTTGATGTTAACTAACTAACTCATATTTTAGATGTTAACTAACTAACTCATAATTTAGATGTTAAGTAACATAGATCAGGTTTTAACTAATTTAGATGAAAAGTGATGATTTAAACTTACATAAACATTTATAATCAACATTATATCATTTCTCCAGTTCCGTTTTGTAATACAAGTGCAAATTTACATTGATATTTTAAAAATATACTTATTTTGCTTAAACCTTAAATTTATGAAAAATTTTAAGGATATTTGTGCTGTTTTAGTTTTGATTTAAATTTAAAAAATTTTTGATTATTTTTCGATCACTTCTGGTTGCTTGCTACATATATACATTCTATGAATTATTTTTAATTAAATTTATTGAAAACCAGCTAATAAAAGACGTTATTTTGAAGGAAAAATCAAATTTGATTTCTTTGATTCTTGTTTGAAAAGTACATTTGTGAGACTAAATCTGATGATTTACATTTGCATTTATGATATATATACTACAGAAAAATTTGGCAAAACATTAACAAAAAATGTGAATAACAGGCATTTTTCAGAAATAAGTAATGTTTGCGTTAAAAAAAGCCCATCGAACATTTTCGAGTAAAAGAAAATGCCACCCTTCAATTCGACGTAATTTTATGAAGAAAAATATCTCAAAAAGAAAGCTGAATACCCTTTTTTTGTTTTTTTTAGCTGCAGGCTACTGTCCTAGATGCATTGATGTCGACAAAGTACTAGTTATAAATCTGCGTATTTTATGTTGAGACACGACATTTTTGCGAAAAAAGAAAAAAAGTCTAAAATGCTTTTTCTGAAAGGCCCCAAGCAAACTTTTTGTGTGTTAAAAGACAAGTATATATTTTTTCGTATTTTTATTGATAGTATTTTGACATTGCTCAGTCAATATTTTAAGAAGTAGAAGAATTTACATGGTTGTAGTAAAAAAAATCAAAAATTCCAATATTATAATGATTTTATAACCAATACATACTTATAATGATTTACATACTTTCTTTCACCGTACGCTTTATAAGTAATTATCTCACACAACGTTATTATAAAATGGTAGAAAAATTTTACATTTCTTTCAGTAAATGTTTTTGAAAGATTATGGTAAATGTTTTTGGAAGATTATGGTAAATGTTTTTATTACTTTAATTTAATTTTAATAATTAATTACAATTACAAAAAAGCTACGGTAGTATTACACAATTTTGACATTGCATCAATTATGACGTTTCTTGACAAGGAATCACGGGAAACTCTCTCAAGAAATCAAGAACTGTCTGTCCTCCAATTGCGCGTCTTTTTCTACTAGAAAAATAGCAATCTCAGCCAATCGCGTGCTTTCTGATGTTTAAAAAAGTGGAAATTGAGAAAACATAAATATTTAGAAAGAATAACTGCGGTGAACCAAACAACTATACTGTTAAATGAAATATTTATTAATACTTTTTTTAACTCTTAATATGAACAAATGTTATTAACTAAAATTTAAGAACTGAATAAAATTAAATTAAAATGCAGTTAGAACACGAAAAAAAAACTGTTTAACATTATTTTCAAATAAATCAACCAACCATTATGTTTAACAATAATAAATAATACATGTACCTACATAAATTTTATGTATCAATAGATAATGGATTACATTAATTAACAGTTACAATAATAATAATATAAGTTATGTTCACAATTTCCTGAATTTTTCATTAACATACCTCATCACAAATAAAAACGGAAAGAAAATTGACACTTTCTGAATGAACTTTCATGAGCATTAGTCACTCAATAGCATACTATAGAATTTCCATTTATATTTTGGTAATTCGCGCTAAACATTTTGAATCTGGATGAGAGATGATTTCGTACCCTGCCATATTTTGAAATAGCAAGTTCAATGTTACTACTTTCATTATTGATATGAATGCTAGAAATTTAAAAATCAAATTTATCTCTTTTAATGAAAACATATTTCACAAATGTTAATAAACACACATTTATTTCATGCATCGTATATAATGGTATAGAACATTTTATTTTAAGTAGCAATAGCTCAAGAAAAAAACATTTTGCATTTTACTGGATGAAGAATCTCATCTCTTATAAATGTTGCAAATAAATGTATATCGATGCATGAAATCGATTCCACGCTTGAAAAAATTTCTTAAAAATGTCCTTTGCATCGTTCGGAATTTTTGAGCAGGTTAAAAGAATTCAAACTTGAATAGAAGTAATACCTAAATACTTTATATTAGATTTTACAAAATATACCTTATTTAAAAATTTTAAAAAATTTAGATTTTCTTATTCCTTCAAATTTATGGTTAGTTATTCTATATTTTATTAGTATAATAATAATAGTTATACTACATTTAAACTACATAATTCTACAATTTAAAATACTTTTAAATTTCATCAAGCAATTAATATGAGACTGAAAGGTGTGATTTAAATGTGCAGAATATAAGGACTACACCACCTTCAGTTGAGTAAACGTACATACAAATCAAACTTCTTGGTAATTTCCAATAACAACCGGGAAATTTGTTGTTGTTGTTTTCTTATCCACTTAGATGGCCAAGCCCCACGAGCCCATACGTACTCATGATTGAAGGGGAAGGATGCAGCTTCAGTTGTGATGGAGCACCCGTAGGTAAGTCTGACTTTGGCTCCGTGACGCTCTTACAGTCATAGGAGACCGGGACCTACTGCTTAAAGTGAATTCGAACCACTATAAACATCCATGGCACCGCCGGTTCCGAACCCGTAACCTGTGGCCCCCAAGCGCTAGAGCGCTGAGACACTCAGTCCCAAATTTGTAGATACCAACGGCACGCGGTGTTCCCAGGTGGTCACCCACCCAGAACTGCACAGCCGCGCCCAATGATGTGACTTCAGTGATCTAGCAAGAACCGGTGTATTCAGCCTGGTATGGCCGTTGGCCGTTAGGTATACCACAAAAGATTTTGCTTTGAATCAATAATAATATGCAAGGGAAACTATTGTTTCGGAACACTTTGCCACAGACATTGTTCGGAACACATTGTAGCTGATGCTTTTTTGATTTGGGGTTGACAACTATATACCAGGATGGTTTTCAAAGCGGAGAATAAATGATATGACAGAGCGGCTTTTCAACGATTGATTCGATTATAACTACTAAAAATAAATTGGAAGGGTGATGTAGATGTTTGGCAAATTAAAAACAAAATTAAAAAAACAGAATGGCTGTTGTAATAAAATAAATAATCTTTGTAATCGGCTATCCGTTGTCATATTTTCTACAATCGGCTATCCGTTGTATATATTCCATCTTTCCTTTTCTTCCAGGATTCAATTTGAGGAGGAATCACGTGACTTTTCTTTGCTTGAATTTTATGGGGCTGCTTTCTGTGAGTAATATTTGAAGTTTATAAAATCCTACATACATATGTAATATTTACGAAAAAAAAAAAATTCGCTGTTTTACCTTTTATTGAACAATATTAGAAAATAATTTATTGATAAAATTTGATCTTGACTTATATTACTCTGTTAAAACTCAAGACAAAATATTTAGTAGACTTCTTTTTGTAAAATATCTCTTAAAAAAATGTAAAATTAGTGCTGCCATGTATAGGACTCCGTCTTTTTCTTCTGCTTAAATATCTATGAGTACTATTTGAGAAAAACCTTACAACAAAAAAAAAAAAACTTCAATTTTATCTAAATCAACGAAGTTCTTAAGAAATAAATATTGATAAACTGTTGATGAGAAAAATATATTTTTCTGTTTTTTCAAATACATAGATTTGGAATTTCTTTATAAAATGTATGAACACAAATTGAAGGTACTTTTGACGTATAAGGATTAATTCCACTCTTCCTAAATATTTTTTATAGTGAAAAATCTTTTGCAAGAAAAATCATTTATCAATGTTGAAAATATTTTTCGTTTATAAATTTTTTACTTTATTAAACAATAAACAAAATTATTTTATGCATCTGATTAATTCTTTGCTTATTTTATAATTGATCTTCTGCAAGAAAAATCATTTTAAATAAAATATTTTTCATTATATATTTATATATATATATATATAAAACAATTTGCATATTTATACTTCTTTCTATATATATTCCTTCAAAATCCATTATTGTTTTTCTGGTTTTTAATGCATCTTTAGAATTTTCTTGCCATTAAACATGAATTATTATTTTCAATCATTAATCTCTATTTATTGATGTTTAATACATCCATTACAAACATTTGACACACAAATTCATAAAAACTTAAACCAAGATTAAAACTAAAAGCATTTTTCTGTTTTTTTTTTTTATTTGTTTCAGCTTTATAATATCGAAATTTGAAAATGAATAAAAATTATGTTTTTATACGATTTAAACTGATATTAAATTAATTGATATAAGGTATTCACGAAACGATCAATTGAATAGTTTTTTAGATATATATGCTGCAAAATTGCATACTTAATTTTATTTAAGGTTTCTTACAATTTTCACGATGTAATTTAAATGCTTTTTCCGTTAATTCGAAAATATCTTAATTCCTTCTTTACTTTAAACTATATATAAGAGGTTTCAAAATCTTCATTTTGTTTTGTATTACTCAAATAATTTTCCAAATTTGTTGGATTATTTGGATTCAAGCAGCTTTCGATTCCTTTAAATCAACATTTTCAATTTCTTCCTATTGTTTTTGTTTTATTTATTTGAGAGTATTTCTAAATGTTTAATTATTATTTATTTATGATACAAAGCTTCATTTTGTTTTTGAAATAAATAAATTTCCATTGAGAAAATAATTTAATTAAGGATATAATCTTGTATTATTCTTTATATATATATATATATATTTTTCTCAATTCTTATAATTTTAAAATCTCTTCTAGAATTGTCTTATTTATGAATTCAGAATGTTCCCTCAAGCCATTAAGCACAATTACTTTATGTTAGTGCACTGCGTATAGTTATTTAATTTATTTACATGTATAGAATGATATATTTTCAATACATGATTTTTTTATGTTTATGTGAATAAAAACTGATTTTATTTAAGCAGCACCAGAATATCTATATGATTTTTAATTAATATTACAGGAACTAAAAGTAATTTAATTTAAATTTTCTGTCATATAATCACTATATTATTGTATGATCTTCCTGCATGAGAATATAACATTGTGTTTTTCAAATTCGATATGTAGTTGGTTAACATGTGGTTTTAAATGAAAACAACTAAATAAAAACCGTGCTGTTATAAATAAAATAACTAATTATAAAAAATGTAGTTTTAATTAAAACAACTAAATATGAAATATGTGATTTAAATGAAACAACTAAATAAAAACCGTGGGGTTATAAATAAAACAACTAAATATAAAAACATGGCTTTAAATAAAACAACTAAATAAAACATGTGGTTTTTCAAATAAAACAACTAAATAAAAAACGTGGGCTTTTCAAATTCGACCTGTAGTTTACGTGTGCTTTTAAATAAAAAAAAATAAATAAAAACATTCGGTTTTTCAAATACACTTTGACTTGATGACTAAATGGCACATTCAGATTTTTGCAGGTTGTATTAGGATGCGACAGTTGTATTTCCCCAACATTCAAATTGACATCTGGCAAAATCATGACTCTTCACTTTCCGCTCAACTGAATTGACTTCACCCTAAAATATTATCATGGTCAGCACACTTTTGACTCGGTTTAACTTAATTGATTTTTCATAACCGAATAATTCGTTAAAAAAAAGAAATACAATAATTCATTCTGATAATCATATATTTACATTTGAAATTAAATGACTCTTATGTAAAATGTTCCTTAAATAAATCTTTATATATAATAAAGAGAAAAGAAAATTGATTGACATTTTCCTTTATCCTTTTCGTAAAAGAATCAGGCTTAAAAACTGAGAGAATTGAAGTCAAATTTTGTCATGAAAATGTAGATAAATATGTATACAAAAACATTATTATACTTCGAATGATTTTTTTTTTTATGGATAAAATTATACTTTTATGTTCGTTTATCTACAGTGAAAAATATGAATTGTTTGTTTATTTTGTCATTGAAAGATTAATAATCTAAAACGTAAAAATTTGAAAGTAACATTCAAAAATTGATGAAGAACTTGAATAACTTCTTACTTGCTTTTTGTTTTTTATTTTATTTAATATCAATTTTCTTAGAAACTGAAATTTTTAAAATTATATTTTACTTGAAAATTTTCAAGATGTTTATATTATTGTTGGTAAACATCAAAATATAGTTCACAGAGATTTAAAAATAGTTATGAAGTGATTAGATATATACTTTAACAAACATTTTCAATAACTTAGCAAACATGCGAAAACATCACAATAATTTATTAAAATTCAATTGCAAGTTAGAGTTAGTCATTTGTTTGAAACCCTAAACTTTATTGAGCAAATAAAATCTGAAAAGCATTTTCATAATTTATGCTTCAATTTCTAAAAAATTTGTATGAAAAATGCATTTAAATTACTTCATGCATTTTTAGTACATTAGTTGTTTTAAAATTTAACAATGTTAAAATGATAGGTATATGCTATGAAATGTTTATGCTAAGAAATTTTTAAAGTTTTTAATGTTTTGAAAATATGTAAACTTGAATGATACTTCAGCAATTCTTTTGAAGATGATGAATATCAATTATGGTGATGTTAAAAGTATAAATTCTTAAATAATTAGGAAATATAGGTTTATTAAAAAAAAAAGTGTATTTCAATATACAAATATAAAGTAATCATATTTTATTAAAACTTTATTTAACAATATTTATGAAATTCTTTAAAGCTTAAATGATAATATTAAGCTTAAAGATTTCCCATGTTAATTCAAATGATATAATATGAATGCGAATTAAGATCGATACGTGGCTGAGTGGCAACGTGTGCCGCTGGGGAGCATTAGGGCGGAGTTTAATCCGCTGGTGGCTTTGTTGTAAATAGCCTTAAAATGAGGAGTCTCGATGGCGTTTGTTATGTTCAGCTTCTTGCCTCTTAGCCTGACTACCTGATGGGGTTACTCGAGTTTTCTTCCATAAGTACCTTCACAACTGTGACGTAGTTTACCCTAAAATCCTCGGAATTCACTGCCTGCCTTCTCCAACGACATGAAACAGAAACCAGACTTTTGCAATCAAAAACAGAAATCTTCCTCTATATCAGACAGACCTATCCATCTTCTCTCTTTGTATGGGGGATACAACAATAGCCAAAAAAACCATCTTAAAAATATATTTCAACAGATGAAGATAAAGCAATTATGTTTCATTAAAACATTATTTAACGATGTTTTTGAAATTGTTGAAGCTTTGTTGTTTATTGCGTTATATTTATGGTTTCTAAAATAGGAGTCTCAATGGCGGGTATGCAAGTACGCATAAAGCGTCTAACAGCGTGCCTGTTAAAGAATCTGCTGATTTTCTTGCACACTATAGCCATATTTAGATCAGTTACCCCCTTCTAAAAAAAAAAAAAACCTCCTTCTCTTTTTTTTTTTTTTTTTTTAGTTTCTCTCTTTTTAAAATATAAAAAGAGGCTGAAGGCTAAAAGGAGGCAATTGCAATACAAAAGAGACAGTAAAAAACTGTAGTAAAAGAAATACAAAATTGTGGCATTTGAATTATTTAAATTTTCAAACTATAGTAAAACTATTTTATTTTTCATTGAAAAATATTTATTCAAAAACATGTCTTATTATGCTTATGTTCAATTTATTATATATGAGTTTTTGTATATTTAAAAAAAACGCTAACTAAAATTATTCAAATTGTGATAAAAAAAAAAGCTAGAAGTGAAATATTTAACGATTCCATATTCATTATTTTTAAACTGCCCCCTCTTGTTCATTGATATACTGTTATTTGAATTATTTAAAATCAATTTAATTCAATTTAACTATGT